GATGGACCCCTTACACGTTCCTCGACCTCGTTGTATAATTTGTAAATTTTTTTGCTTTAATTGATAAATTGGTTAAGCTCGATATGTACACGAGGAAGAAAGAGTGATCGTGATTTCGAGGCAAATAAAAACTCAAAAAAATTTTTAATTTATTCGTAGAGGTATCGAAAATGCTATAACGAAAGATATAAACGTTTCAACTGTATCTAGTCTTCTTTAGTAGTCAAAAGAAAAATAATATCTACACTTTACATATATTATTTCTTTTTTATATTATATAATACTGCTCGGTTATGCCGAAGAAGACAAAGTACAGTCAAAACTTTTATATCTTCCATAGTATTTCAACGACTTTATGAATAAATTTTAAATTTGTTCTCTTATTGGCTCTTCTCTATTTGGCTATTTGGTAATTTTTACTATTGCCTTAACTTTTTTACGCTTCAATTTTCTTTATATAAACAAGAGTATTACAATCTTCTAATGGAGCATTTTTAATCTCGAGTCGGGCAAAAGTAACACTTGCATCAATGTTCAAATTCAATCAAATCACAAAAAAAATTTAAAAAAAGATAACAGTATGCTTCCCTATTCTTCTTGATTTAAGACAAACCTTTTTTTTTCGTGTAATTTTTCAGTCGCGATAGATTGATTACCCGCAGTATAAGCAGGGGGCGGCAATCTTAAAAACTCATCATCATTTTGTCAATCAATGATATCGCGCGCTCTCATGCGTTCGGCGTGCTTCGATCGCGTCATGCCTCATCCCATCAGTTTTGCTGGCAAACCGAATCGAGCAAATGGGCTAAGCTCTCGTAGTACGTGGATAAGCCTCCCGTGCGCTCCGTGCCTTTCACTATCCATGATAAAGCGAAATCCATTTGACTTACAGCTTATCGACTCGCTGCCGCGGAGCGAAGGCGGATTTGTGAGTAATTTTGCGTGACGACGCACACGTGGTTGCTCTGAAAAATGCTGCGTGAGAAAAAGCTTTCGTCGAACCTTGCGATGAAAAGAACATTCTTACGACAGGTTCTTGTGTGCCGCACACACGTACACACGCACACATTTATACACAAGCGCGTGTGCACGATGTGTTTCGGAAATATTTTACCTTTCGCGAAAAAAAGTAGGAAAACGTCGCCTTATAAAATTGTTGCCCTCGTGTAAACGAGAAAGAGTGAACGCCAAAGAATTTAGAAAAAATTCCTCCCGACAAAGTAAACACATTTAATTTTACTAATATATTTTGCACATGAAAAATTGCTTGCTGCGTTTTGAAAAAAAAAAAAAAAAAAAAAAGAAAAACATCCATTTTTCAAATGTTGCGTAGAACAAATTTATATTTGTTTGTTTAGATACATTTTGTTTAGATATCGTTCGAAGCACAAAAGTCTCAATTTAATTGTTTGCTCTCTGCCTTCTGTTTTCAACTTTCCATTTCCATTCCATTTAATTCCAAGTTGTAAATGATATATAAACAGGAACTTGAAACAAACATCGAGAAGTCACGAATATCTTTTTGTCGCAGATACTTTTCTCATTAAATACTTGGACTATTTATCACTAGTAATTGAATCACTGGTAATTCGTTCAATGTTAATGTAACTAAATGCGGACGGTTTTTTCCGTTAGTTGAGATTTTGATGTCCGTAGCTCGACTTTGCAAATTCTTTACTTAATGGTCAACATTAAATTTTCCGACCACAATAGCGGCCAAAGTTGGTTCGCGACACGACACGAGTTACGAGATCTCGTTACAGCGCCACGAAATGTATGGGCGACACCAGGAACACCCACTTACGGAAGGTCCTTGAGGCGTTTTCCGTTTCACGATCACAATTTACCGTGTCCAGCAAGCTTGTTCGCTACTTGTTTTGCAGTTCGTTCAGTTTCCTTTTTATCGTAACTTTTCTTGAATTATGTATACGTAGACATCAATTTTAACATTGCTGTCCGCGATAAAAACATATGCGAGGCAAACATATTCGAAACGTACACGAAATTGTCAAGCGGTAGAGACTCAAGCAGTATATATATATATATATATATATATAACTACC